CTGGTTATAAATTTTTAGAGCAATCCTATCTAAAAACATTGACCTGAAACTCAATGACCAGGAATTTAGGTTCTGGCTATTCGTTTAAATATCAACTCGATCTTTTAGCATAAATGTGCTAGATATCATAAGCAGGCTGATTTCGCGCCTATTAAACGTGCTTTAAATTTTGTTAGGATTTCTTTACCAACGAAGCCCACGGGTTTGTTTTATGACCTGAGAAGACAGAATGGAGTCATTAGATTACAGTGGGGAAAATCACAAGTTCCTAGCTTATGATCTTTATTGTATCGACTCTTTGACTCTATCGAACTTAAACAATAATTTTTTTTAGCTACAGATAAATTATGTGAAAAATGATGGACATGTCTGATAAATATTATTTCGTTCCAGTCATCATGACCACTCTTACAACTTTTTCCTCAAACCCAAAACTTATTTGAAAAATTTGGCGGTCAAATTTCGGTTAAAACATGATCTAAAAAAGGATTTTATCTTCGTCAAAGACTTGTAATCCAGGTCGTTAATTATTGCCTTATTAACTCATTTCCCTCTTATAGTCATTTAATTAATATAAAAATTTTCCTATTAAAAATTTATGCCTTTTCATTTTTACCTTATTCAATTTTAGTGTTTAGAGTGGCATCACTAGGGGAGGCGCAGGGGCTCGAGCCTCCTGAAAAATTTGAATAGCCCCCTGAAGCAAAAAATTTTTTTTTAATGGCTCCTTAATATCCTTTTGAACTAAAATTAAAATTAATTTTAATTGCCCCCTGAACGATTTCTTTTATAATTCTATTGAGTAATATATAGATTTAATTTTATTATCTAAAAAATTAATTATACTATCTAAATTTTTATTAAATGAATACTATTTTGATTATAAGATTAGATTAAAACTTGTAAATTATATTTTCATTGTCAGCTTGCAATCAAATTCTGTGTTAAAAATAGAATATCAATATCACTCATTAAATATTAATTTAGCATTAATAGTTGAAGCTTAAATGACTTTTATTATTTAAATTTTTATCCAATTAAATATATATTAATTAAAAATTAACAAATTTAATATTGAAATTAACTAATCAATTATATTATTGATTTTTAAATTTAATTACCATGCCTCTTCCTAAATTATTTACAAGGTCCAAATCCAAATAGGTATAAGAGATTTATTTATAAAAAATAAGTGGTAGACATATAGTTTATAATTCTCTATTATATATAATTGGCTATAAAATATTAGGTAAAATGCCACTTTTACAGAAGTATCTGCAGTTATATAATATATTACAGTTAATTTTAATAAATTTTACTAATAAATGCTTTTGATAATAAATATAAGTAATAATCTTCATTCAAATATTTAACGCCATCTATTTATTTAGAATTATTTATAAAAATTTAACATCTTAATATTTATCCCACAATAGATGTAATAAATTAGTTAAATTTTCCTATCCCACAATAGATGTAATAAATTAGATAAATATTTTTTTCTTATTTGAAAAACAGTTTTGAGTTTAATTTTTAATACGAGTATATTTTTGATATTTTTAAAAACTACTATTATTTTAAGATATAAACCAACTAGAGGTGGTGCGACAATAATATATAAAATCTTAATTGATTTTATCATATCGATCTGGTTCTTATTTTATAGTTACGAAATGTTTTATTTCTAATATGACATCCCTGCCGTGTAAATAACTTCTTCAATATATTTGCATAATATCTTCTAAAGATTTTTAGTGTTTTTGTTTTATCAATTTATCTAACATAATAAATTCTGATATGAGTTAACATCGTTAGTGTCATGGTTATGACTGCAAATTAACCAGCATCTATCATTTGTATGGCTATGTAACTTAAGATTATTACTATGATTGATTTAATAAGCAATTCAACAGTGTAGTCGTTTATATATCATTAAAAATGGAAGATAATCTTTTATAAATTTAATATATCACAATAATTTTCTCGATTACTTATCTAGCTTCCATCATGTCATCTAAGAGGATGCTCTAACCACCCCGTTTTTATTCTCTTCTTCAAGAATTGTTGATTTGGTTAGGCCTATAAATTTATCTTTACACATTCTATAAAACATTGTTTAGAATGTTAACAGAAAGTTATATTAGTTTGATGACCTTTTGTCAATGTAAGTTGCTAAGAAATATATTATATTATGTGGTTTTTAAAAACCATTATCAATTGAGGCATATGTATGAATTAATTAACCTTTTTTATCACTTGTAATTCCTTAGACGCAAAATTTTTTTATATAAGCAATCGAAAATATTTTGTACTGTATTAAATAGTTTTTATAAAAAATATTATTTTTAGAAATGTCTTGTATTGTTTTAATTATTTATATGCTAGTTTATTTTGTATGCATAATATAATAAATGACAAAATAAAAAATTCAGAATAATTATTCAGAGTTAGCAAATTTTAAAAAAGTATAATATATTAATATAGAACCCGCAAATTGAGGAGTATGGGGGGCGAAGCAGCCCCTTATAAAAATATTTTTAGTTGAACCCCTTTGTAAAGGCTAGCGATGTCCCTGAGTTTAACATTTATTTTTTAATTTGTGAATTTACTGTAATTAATTGTATTGTAACATTTGGACTTTTAATATTCAATTTTTCAATAAGAATCAAATAATATTTATTACGTTTCGCTATAGAATTTTTTATTTAAGTATAAATAATTTAGGGAATGTGACCTTAAAATGTAGTCTAGATTTATCTTTTAACTAGTATTGTTGAAAGGCTCGATTTGAGCGGATTTTTAAAAACGGCTTACTCAATATTAGCCAGAAAATTGCCTAAGCCTCAGGGTTTAGGAAATATATGTCTAGACCTTTGTTCCTTCTATAAGCAAAATCTTCAGGGTTGGGTAATATTTTTTCTGGATGAAGTATTGAGTTAACCGTTTTTAAAAATCGGCTCAAAACGAGCCCTTTAACAGCACTAAATGTATTCTCAGTAATTGTTATTTGATATGATTATTTGAAAAATATTTTAAAAAATTTTAAATCATTAATATTTTTTTTTTTACATTTTAAAAATTACAATTAAAAAATTTATAATAAAATTAAAAGTAAATTAAATATTTAACAATAGAAGAAAGATTTTATTTGCAAACTTATTTATTTCTCAAATCATATTATATATCATTTTACCCGTAAAATAACATTATTTTTTTGATATCGAAAAGTTGGAAGTGATACTACTAAGCTTAAAATGTGCAAGATAAAAATGCTATATAATTAATTTTGATTCGTTTACTATATCCCCAAGAAAAGCAATAAATGAAAATTTTATATAATATATATATATTTTTTTTTAAAACAATAATCCCATTTAAATATTTAAAAGCTTATTAGAATCTTTCATTCTTCTATTCAATGCATTTCGAAGCTTTCAATAGAAACTATTTCGTCATCATCACTAAAGATAATAAATATATAAATATATTATAATATTAATTATAGCCATTAAGAGGTAGGCGTAAGATGGCCTGGCCGAAATCGGCTCGGAAAACGGCGTTTTCAATCTGGACCGACCTAGCCCATAATTATTTTTACCCGTCTGGTAAAATATATTTTACGCATTATTTTTTCCGGTCCGAGAATCATTTTGAATGGCAAGACCGACCCGGGCAATCACTAATTATATAATATTGTATTGAGGTTTAATGTTAGATATTTTCCGTAAAAATAGCAATTGGTGTCAATAAATTAAAAAAATAAAAGTTTAAAGCAATAAATGGCTGAAATATATAGCGTAAGGTATTCTACACATGCTCGAATGTAATTTCCAGTGTCAAATCAGGTTTTTTAAATTTAGAAATCACTCTCAATAAAGGATACAAAATTTAGAGATCTTAAATTCGCATGGATTATATATCCCAAAACGATATTATAAATAATTAAGTAGCTATTCTGTATTTTATTCCTAATTCCATCATTTATAGTTTTTCTTTCGTTGTTTCTCACTATCTTACTAAGGCTATATCCCTTCCATACCTTTTTTTTTAGTTTTTCCCTTCTCTGTTAATTTTAAACACAATGTCTGGAATGGAAATATAAGGCATAAATTAAAAGACGTTTATGTTTGTTTGAAAAATCTTTCTGTAAAACTAGTTTTCCTATTTGATCAATGATATCACAAAAAAAATTTCAATTTTGTAAGATTTGAAGAGAACCATTTCGGCATTGATCCTTAAATTTCTAGGGAAAAATTTTTTTTTAGGGTATCATCAAACCAACCAAATTTATTGAAAAAGTGTCTAAGGAATTTGGATAAGATTTATCACTTTAACTATTTCCCAGACTGTTAAGATGCACAAACTTCTTATTTGTAGGTATTTTTCTAGATCCCAAATCATTTCAAAATTTTGTAAAAGATAATAACGTTTAAAATTGACTTATTTATAATAAAGCTAGATTCTAATGTCGTTTTTGATTTGATTCAAACAAAAATTGTTATTATATATATAAATGTAAAATGCACTTGTTGATAGTTCGTTTTTACCTAATATTTTTAAACATTTTAACTTATTTTTTAAAACCTATTGCCTGGTTATTCGTCATGCCATTTTTCTCTAAAGCTCCATCATTTTTATAAGATTCATTTTTAAAAAAAAAACCAATTCTGTTAAGAAGATTCTAACGCCAAATATAGATATTCTCTAGTGCCACTTACCTAAGCCAAGATATTTACGCGGAATATTTCCTACCACGATTATAATTTTTATTTTGCAGTTAAAATTTATTTTATAGAAAAATCTCTAAGAATCTAGGTCCTATATTTTTAAATTGAGAGAGTTAGCGTTGGGACTTTTTTTCCCACTAAGCCTTGAGACCAGGTCATCCCTCTATAAATATTATATGATAAAATTTAAAAAAATATATATATCTAGAACATCACTTACTCGGGAAATTTGCCTAGCCTACTAATGATAAATGATACATAATTATTTGTTACCTGGATGATTCGTGAACTCTTCTATCTATGCATAGGGTTTTATTAGATAGCACCGTGCCATCTAGCACAAACTCCCCTTTTGGGTATAGAGGCTTTTCATTCCCCGTTTTGCATTTCAGTTGGCACGAGTATTCATCTAAATACAATGTATATATAATATATAATATATATATTGTAATATACATTTTTATTTTTCAGAAAGAAAAGTTTTTTACAAAAAAATATATGTATATATACCTTTAACATAAGCATATAATCCTTTATCGCTAAGCTTCTTCGCAATTTCATTGCATCTGATATCATTGGCACTTTTTGATGATATCTCAGGTCCAGTCTAAAGGTTAATTAATAATTATATGTGATTACCAGAAAAATAGTCCTAATAGCTTGTAAAAGTATTTAAATTAGATAGAAGGCTTCACTGAAGTATCTAAGATATTTGTAAAAAGGGGGGGGGGGGGGAGATTTATTGTATACTATAGATTTTGCAGTATTCCTAGGTCCCTTCTTTGAAAAACTTTGGCCGGATCACATTTTAAAAATATAATTATCGTATTTCATCTCCTTATTCAAAATTATGTTATTATAATGCACAGAGTTTTTAAAAGAGATCTAGATAAATTATCGATACACCCTCTATAAATGGATCTAGATACATATATGTGGTCTAAAATAATCTAGATACATATAGATACATTTTTTACAAATGTATCGAGATAATCTCAAATTTGGTTGTCATTATCACACCAGTTTTATGTAAAGATATTTACAACAAACTATTTCTACAGAAGGTACTTGATGGCAGGGTTATTATATTTGATGAAAAACATTGTTATGATGATATAAGCATTAAATATATTATATCCCGACACTCATTAAAAAAAAAAATTATTTAAAATTTGATGAGTGACAAAACTTATGTCAATATATATATCATCTAAGGGATGACCAAAAATATATAGATTACCATATTGTCGTTATCCATTGCGTAAGATAAAATTTGTCTAGTTTGTTTTTGTAATGAAATAAAACTCGGACATATTATTAAATGAAATTAAATTCAAATATTATCATTTTTAATAAAAAAAAACCTTTAAAAAAAAATTCTATCAAATATTTCTGAAGAGTATCTAAAATAGATGAACACACTTTCAAAATAGTATCTAGATACTATGTACAAATACCTTTTTATAAAGGCGTGTGTAGATCAGATAGTATATTTTTTGTATCTTGATACAGTTTTTTAAATAAATATATCTTGATACTTTAACAACTCTGAACGATGACATTTACAAAAACTAACAAAATTACGAGTAGGGGGGTGGCGATTTTCTTCTCTTATTCCCACTCCCACTCCTCATCCGTTGGTTACTTCAACGGAAACATTTTAATATTATAATTTGATTTTTTTTTGTAAAAAAATGACATTCAATTTATTGATATTAATAAATATTATTTGATTCCCTTTTTCCTATATATTTTGTCTAAAAAATTGAAATGAAAAATAAATTATGCGTAAATCATTAAATGTATGGTACATATAAAGATTAGAATTACTTTTTTACACTTGAAAAATCTATCCGTCTGGAAAGAGCAATCAAACCTTTATTTATATAGGATAGGAATAATTAATAATTTATAATTTATAATCTTTTCTTTTCTTTTCTTTATTTCTTTCTTTTCTTTCATTATTTCTTTATTTCTTTCGAATAATTTTTTTTCAGATAAGTAGGTAGGTATTGGGCCGTTTTTTTGCTAGCATATTTTTCATATTTGTTCAATTTGAAGATTAATTTTATGATTTTGTCTAAAACTAAATACAGGTTTGGGCATGGCCTGAGCTAAGGATGGTCTGTAATCTATTCTTATCTTAATATTTACAAATTGGGCAAGTATACAATTTTTTTAATATTAAGAATATGGCGCACAAAAAAATCTATTTTTCTCGTATAGTTATAACGTGTTAAAACTTCTATTTTATAATGATTAAACAAATAGTTATGATCCCCTAAATTACTCAGGAAAAAACAATTTAAATTTTATTATTATTTTTACTTATTGTCAGATTTGCATTTCTTTCTTTGGAAAGGAATTTCGAATCCCATGCAATTTCCAGAAAGTTCCCACCTAATATTTTCCTCTCCCAGATTCGAGCGTTGTTCCTTTCCTAGCATGAAAAGTATTATTTTTACTTTCGCAATGTTTAGTTGTAGTTAAATGGCCCGACTTGGGTCGATTTTTAACCAAAATAATATTATATAGGCCTCGAGAAGATTTAATATAAAAAAAGAATAAAATTCGCCAAAATGGTAAAATAAAATTTAATTTAAATTAAATATTGTAAGTTTATTACGAATTGAATGAAATCTAGTGTTTGAAAGGCTAATTTTTAAAACCCCCCTAAATTAAAGATTAAGTCTCGAAATTTTGAAAAGTAGATGACCAAATCTTTCTTCCAAACTATGGGCAAGTTTTCGAGCTTACGGTTAAAATCTTGAGTTTACCCTATTTTTAATAATGGGTTAAATCCGAGCCAAACCATACAACACTACTTGAAAGCATTTTTTGAATAACTTCAATTAAAATTTACCTTATAAGTCTATTTTTAATATATACTAATATATAAGGGTAAGTATTTTAAGAAGGGCATGACCTCATTGCGGTAAATATCATTGTTTTTGTACCCTCATATTTAATATTACACACATATTAAGTTATATTTTGAAGAATCAACTTGCATTATGAAATATATTTATCGAAACTCGAGTTCACATCTTTGCGTTAACTCGAATTAGTAGACTAAATCAACCCTGGGACCACAGTCGGGGGGGGGGGGTATAAATAAAATCGTATAATTTAAAAAAATATATCCTTATGAAATAGTTAAATAAATCTTAAAAATAAACATACGCCGGAAACATGTTTTTTAAAAACATTCTCCTCGCTTTCTCTAACTATTATATACTATAATTTTATAATCAAATTTTGGTCACCTTTTCACCCCTTAATAAATTTAAAAATTCATAAAAATAACTACGACATTAAGATTAGTAGAAGCATCCGTTTTAATTTTAACGTTCCTTTAAAATCGCCCCCTTTTTAAAATATATATATTGTATATATATACATAGTGTTGTTAGACTAGACGTCTCGATGCGTACTCGATATTTTATTTGAGAAAAATATTATGCTCAAGCCTTACATTTTTGATCATATATTATGGCACCACAAAGGTTTAGACATTTTTTAATAGTGAAATTTAGAGAGCTTAAGGCAATATTTTTTGACTAAAGTCTTGAGTAGTGTTGTTAAACGGCCTCGATTTGAGCCTATTTTTTAAAAACGGTAGAAAAATATGCTATAAGCTTGGAGATTTTCTCAATAGATGTTCAAACCTTTGTGCCATATAGAGAAAAATCTGCAGACTTGCATAATATTTGTCTGAATAAAATATTGAGTTAACCTTTTTTTAAAATTTGGCTCAAATTTAGCCGTTTAACAACACACTTATATATATACTATATACTGTATATACAATATACTATATATGATATGTTTATTTTTTAAAAAATGGATCAGGATAAAAAAAATTTTAATATTTAATGGTCTCCAAGTTTTTTGGCTCTCTCCGTCACTCATCTCGAACTTGTTTAACTTACCATATCATAGCTCAAGTTAGAAGAGTCGCTCACTTATTTTCATAACGTAATACATTTTTTACCGGAATCATTTTCGTATTGCGATGCCGTAACCGCACCTTGTTCTAAAAAGAAAATAAATAATTATAGATTTTTTTTTAAAAAAAAAAAGGTAATAATAACGCGCGAATGGGAAGGGTGGGGAATGGTGGTATGGGGAACGTTATTCCCTAACTTCCGGAATTTTATTGGAATATTACATCTATAAATTATGAGAAAGCCTAATCTTCTAATATCCAATCTCCGTAATCGCATAAGTGATCGTTTTGCTATCATCTTAACGTTATAATTTTTTTTTCTATCAACTTTCCTATCTTCTCAATGCTAGTGTTGTTAAACGGCTCGACTTGAGCCGATTTTTAAAAACGACTAACTCAATATTTTATCCAAAATAATATTACGCAAGTTTGAAGATTTTGCTCATAGATGGCACAAAGGTCTAGACATCAATTAGCGAAATTTCGAGGTTTAGGTAATATTTTTATAGCTAAAATATGGATTTAGCCGTTTTTAAAAATCGGCTAGCCGTTTAACAACACTACTCTATGCCGTAAAATCAAGGGAAACCAATATAGCACAACATTAAATTTTCGGTCCTTCCGCTTGACCGATCCGGCTCGACCCGACCAATTTGAGTAATTTATTGGAAAAGACGATATCTACCTCTGTCTTCTTCGTCATACTTGTCTTGATCGTACTTAGTGTCATCTCCTGGAACAGCTGCAAATATTAATAATAAAAAATTGAAAGCCCGATTGGGGAACCGCTTCTTAACAAAATGGCCAGATTAAGATGTTATATAAGTCTCGAGAGATTCGGTAAATTAGAGTTCCAAAACCTCTCTTGCCATCTATGAGCGAAAATTTCCTAGGCTTGTAATAATATTATTTCGATTAAAATACCTTAATCGGGCCATTTTTAAAATATCGAAATTACCCACAACTAGTATCGTTAAAGGGCTCATTTTGAGTCGATTTTGAAAAACGGCTAACTCTATATACAAGCCAGAAAAGAAAAATTGCTTAACCCTTCAATACTCCGGTGAAAAAAATGACGTTAGTACTCAGGTGGGGTATAATAGACCCCAATTTATGTATGTATCTCCAGTAATATTCATTATTTTCATTTGCTATTTGGATATAAGATAGATCTAACCTTAAGCTTGGTAAAATATTTAAATATTATTTCTTAGGCTTAGATTAAAGATGATGAGGATAATTATAATTTGTGCCAAAATTTTTTTAAATCTAAAATTAAAAAAAATAACTTATCCATCATATAATCATGATAATTTATAATATGGATCTTTATTCTTTTAATGTAAAAAAAAATTACACTAATACATTCAAATATAAAAAAAATATAGAACATACAAATTTACTCTGGTGGGGACTCACAAATCTCAATCAGTCACAAAATGCTTATATCTTAAAAACTAGTCAACCGAAATATATGAAATTTGGAATATAGATTCTAAGATATATTTGATGAAGCTACTGAAGAATCCAGATCATAATATTTAACCGTTTTTATGTAATATTATTTCTAGCATGCCGGGGGTTTCATATACCCCACCAGAGTATTGAAGGGTAAAGTCTCCAGATTTTGGTAATAGACTTCTAGACTTTTGTATACCATCTTTGAGCAAAATCTTCAGGCTTGAAGTATAACATTTTTTTGGATAAAATACAGAGTTAGCCGTTTAACAGCACTACCCATAACAAACGATTAGGTATAGGGTTCAAATATATCCAAGGAAGAATTCGTATTAACCAAGAACAAGAAACCAATAAAAAAAAACGAGGGAGAAAAAAAAAATCTGGCTAAAATCCGAATCTTTCATTTTTTCTGTATTATAAGTTAAATTATTTTCAATAGTCAAACATTATTTTAACGAAGTAGTGGTGATAATAAAAATTAGATGCAGGCTGGGAAAATCCCCTCATAATTATGGTGCAGAGTAAAAAATACCACTAGACGACTATAGAAGTAAATTTTTTCCCCCTCTTTTTTACAGCGATCAAATTGAATCAGATTATAAATATTTTCCTAAATCCGACGCTCGAAATCCTCTTAAAACGAGATTTTTGACTCTAAATATTTTAAATTAAGAATTTTTTAAAAAAACAAAAATTTTCTTGAGAATGCTCATATAAATTTTGATTTTACTTAAAAATTCCAAATTTCGACTCTTAAAAATCTTTTATATTTTGTAACCTCTTATGAAATCTTCAAAAAAAAAAAAACTTTGCTCACAATTTTTTCAAATAAAATATTTTACCGGAGTTGATATCGTAACAATACACGGCAACAAACATTCCCAAGATAATCATTGATGTCTTCATATTTTAGATTTTAAAAAATAATTTTTTAATATTTCTTTTTTTGTAAAAATAATGTTTTATTTTAATTTCTTAAAAAAAATAAAATTTTAAAATCTAAAGTTGAAAACGAAAACGAAAAATTATTTGAGAAATATATTATATATGCTATATTTTATAATAAATTTTAAAAATAATAAATTTTGAGCCATGGCTAAATTGTTAAATTTTCAGGTGAATAAATAACATTTTTTAAAAATAATTATCTTATAACACCTGCGATATTTAAATGGGAAAATAATTATAATTAAAAATATATTACTTCTAATTAATATTGTTCAATAATAGCCATGAATTTTTTTCCATAATTATTTCTTAAATTAAAATAATTTATAAAAAGAAAATTTCCAATAAATTATGTTTTCTTTCCTCTATCCTTTTCTTTTCTGTTTCATAATAAATTATATATTTTTTGTCAGATAATGATTCCAGCATTAGACGCAGATAACTATCTTTCTCCAGTAACATATGTGATGTGGCAATCGAATAAAAACCTAAAACTTTCACTGACATTCCGACTCAGCAATTTAAACTTATATTGAAACTTAGACTTTTCTTTCTTACAATTAATTAACAAATCGTAAACTGTATAATTTTATTTTTTAGCATTCATAATGGTTAACATAATATTATAAGGATCGAATTATCAAATACTGCGCTAATATAAATTTTATATTCATGCAAGACACTGAAGAAATCTTGTAGAATTAGCAGTGTATATAAATATTATAAGATTCCAATAAAACGCTGTAGAATATGATTTGTTCAATTAAGTTTGGGAATAATTATTTGTCCTAAACTATTTAATGGAATGAGTAATAAAGATTTTTATTTATATGATATAGCATGTTAAATATTGCTAAATTTCAAATTTTGGTTCTTATCTACCTACTTTTTACAAAAATAATGCATATTTAAAAATATAATAATATACTACTTTGTATGGAATAATATAATATAAATATTTTTAAAAATTTTTATCCGAATAACATTTTTCAAAAAAGTTTGTGGAAGGACATGAAAGTAGGGGGTTCGGTCATTACCGTAAAACATATATTAATCATTTACTTTTTTAATACATTAATGCCTGGCAGTTAAATTTTTATCTTACTCCCGTTGCACTCTCATCCAAACAAACTACTAATCTTACATATGTTCACATATTAGCTTACGTTTCTATCCCCTATCTTTTCTCATTTTTTTTAAAAAAACTAACAATATTTAAATCTTATTAAGCTCATATAATTTAAATTTCTCGGAAATGCTTTATGTAAAAAAAAATACTTATAAAGTCCCCGCGAGTTTTAAAATAATACCTATAATTTAAATATTTCACCAAATATGCCCGAAAAGTAAAAGTTTATTATAATGCAATGTAGATATAATCCCAAAAAATTATTATAACTAATCACGTTGTGCGTGAAAACCTTGGCTACTACAGATAGTGTTGTTAAACGGATAACTAGATATTATATCCAGAAAATTAGTGGGCAAGCCTCAAAATTTTGATCATAGACGTCACAAAGGTTTGGAAATCTATTAGCGAAATCTCGAGGCTTAGGTAATATTTCTGGCTAGAATATTATGAAAGGGGTTTTTAAAATGGGCTCAAATCGAGCCGTTTAACAACACTAGCTTCAAATATGTAAGTAATATTCATATTTGCCTTAATCTCACCCAAGAACCATTTATGGGTAGTATCACTAACCTATAGAGCTTTTTTTCATTAAATGGTTTGTTATATACTAAACACAATGCTAAATCGTATCATTTCTACAGGCAAGGCATCCCTAGTAATTATAGAGTTTATTTTCTTGAAAAGTTTAAAGGCAATCGCGTTAATCGGTGGGTAAGTAGAGTAAGGGAATTGGGATTGTTCTTTAATCTTTTCTTAGTTTTTTTAAATATTTTAGTTATAAAATTTTTCGATTTATTTGATAAGCGGTAATATTTTTGTTATTCCTTCTGTTCATTTTCATAGTGCCGGCGCCGATGTCGTATATGATAAATGATTCTTTATGATGCTATATAAATAAAGGGGAGATAAATGGTTAAAACATTCTAGAAGGCAGTCGTGCCTCAACTTGGAAGAAAGGGTAAATATCAGATTATATCTATCAAAAAAAGGAGTCTCAGAGACATTTATAGAACTTATATTAACATAAAATGCTCAACGCCCTATTGTAAATGTTATAAAATCGTTATCTATTTGGAAGCCTTTTGTTAAATAGGTGGTATTTTTCTAAATTATCATATGCATTTTTGTCTTAATAAATAATGACTTTCTGTTCAGCAAATTTTTGTAGGTTTATTAAACTTTTTTTAAAATTCATTTATTAAAATTTTAAAAGTTCATGAATCGAAACAATAAAGTTAGAAATTATTTTTTGTTACTTTTTGGTACGCTAAAACACAATTTTCCTTTGTAAAAAAATTAAAATATTAAATATTTTTCTAATCTTTCGTAGCCAATAATGTATGACGTAATTATCTACATTAATGCTTAAATTTCCAGTCTTATAAATTGATGGCTTAGATTATTAATCGGAGTGGACTTAACGTTCCCATCTACTCAACTTGCCCCGGTTCTCCCTTATACTACAATTTTTGGAATAATTGATTTACCAGGTAAAATGTAATGCCCAAGGAATCCGAATATGTAAAAAAAAATTTGTATATGCTAAATATAATTTTTTTAAGACACCTCAAATAATTCCATTTTTTATTTGAAAAAGGTTAATAAAAATCTTTCCATTTCTTTTTATCGAATTTGAGTGGATTTTTAAGTTTTCTAGAAACTATTTCTTCTCCATCACTATAAAATAAAATAAATATAAATATATAATAGTCGTCTTAACATTGGAGGTAGGCGCGAGATAGCCTGGAAATTTTTATCGGGTTTTTTTTCAGACTCGACCGATCCGTAATTATTAATACCCGGCCCGTAAAATAAATTTTGCACAATTTTTCCGGAATCAAAATCTCTTTGGAAGCAAGATCTAGGTCCGAGCCCACGGCTAATTAATAATAAAATTGAGTTCATGTTCGATATTTCTTGTTTGTTTTTTTAAATTTTCAAGAAAATAATTAATTAAATTTGTTTTTAATTTATATAATGTTCCATATCACAGACAATATATCGTAGATAGTCATGGGTGGATTGGGGAAGAAAAGGCCTGGTGGGACAAAACATTTTAAGGGCCCTAAAAAAGGATTTCCGAGTTTGTTGATTTTTTTTTGTTTATATTAACTTACACATTCTTATATTTCGTTTATTAACTCATTTATACTGTATATGTATAAATTATTTTTATTATTTTCAAAGTGAATAAGAGAAATGTTACTCAAAATAGAAATCTGTTTAAGAAAATTCATGCCGGGTCGGGCCTTAGAAATTTTTTAAAATATTTCTAAATTTATCAATTTTATGTCGAATTTTTTATGTAAAATTAAAATATGTGATTTTATTTATAAAGTAGACGCCAAATAACATATAATATCGTTTATTTTGAGTAATTATAAAAATTTATTTCAAATTTAAATACGGGCTTGAAAGATTAGGCCCGATGCAGATCACCAACTCAAAATATAAAAAAAAATTCAAAGATTTTAACTCTTAAAATGAAGATTATTTTTAAAGAGAAGATTTTTTTGAAAATGCTCAAACAGATTTTTTTGATCAAATATTACCTAACACTCCAAATTATTATTTTTTTGTAATAAATCTTTTACATGTAAATCTTTTGTGGTTTTTATGAATAAAAAATCTTTCATGGTGAAATGACAAATTTTTAAAAATGATTTAGATCTTCTTAAATAAAGTGCTGGGAATAATTAAAAATAGACTGCGAAGCTATTATTGACTAAAATATTTAGAAGCCTTCTTAAATCATAGCAGTTCAACCATTAATAACGCGGAATTTGTTAGTGATAGCAGTTGAACGTGAATTATTTCTGTAGATTCTAACCATTAATAGGGGATATCTTAAAGCTAAAACAAACGCGATTGTAAAATTTAAATATTTGTTTTTATTATTTAACATTATGTAATGGAGGAGTATAATTGATAACGTAAGAAAATATTCCATAATGTTGTATTTTTTTCCTCATTCCGGCATTTAAAATTGTTATATATTCTCGAAAACTTTTTCGTTAGTTTCTCACTATCTACTTTCGCTAATAGAGGATTTCCTCTTACAAGCCTTTAAAATACCGTCTATGATGGAAATACTGGGGCATCGGTTATAAGATTTTAATCTTTTGAAAATATTTAATTAAAATTCGCTAATACACTTCATTATCAATAATATCACATATCTTAATTACGTAAATATGAACAGCGTTATTTAGGACCTAATCATAGCTCCTCGTGACAAATTTCTTTCCCATTTCCAAATACAACTATATTCGGGCTTCATCGAATCAAACCTAATTTATAATTGATAATAATTGACATACTTGTGACTTTTATGTTATCATCTTGACTTCGGGCTATTATTAATTAGCTTTTAGGAAGGTTGAATTATTTCAAAAAGATTCGGGTGGTTATTAATAATGCTTTTAAAGTTTCAGATATGTAAAGGACATATAGTTTGTTATTAACCGATCCTTTTAGACATCCATCCATAAAAATGCCTCTCACGTGTCTGCCATCTTGTTTACCTAATTTCTTAAATTATTTTTTTAAAACCTATTGCCGGCTTATTGCATAGAATTCATTTTAAATAGTAGCAAGTCTGTTAAGTAGCCTAAGGGGATTTTTCCTGTAACACTATAAATAGACTCTAATACCATTTGCACTAATTTGAGCAAGCAGCAAGCGAGCCAAAACTATTTTACTAGTCATATTTTCCCCCTTCGTAAAAAACGATTTTCCAATTAAATTCTTTATATTTGCAGGTCATTTTCAAAAATAAAAAAATTAAAATCTCTAAAGGTTTCACATTTTTATTCCCAGAAAGCCCCGTGAAATCAGTTGCCCCTAAGTTTACTGGCTATTCCGACTTTTGTAGATAGTCGATAATAGTAATAAATATATATCTAATCGGTTAGGTATATTCCCACAGAAGAAATTTATATATTAATACTTTATATAGATAATAGCTTACAAAATAATAAATTATATACGTAAATTATTTGCTTACCCGGATAATTCACGAATTCTTCCATCTATGCATAGGGCTTTCCCAGATATCGTTGTGCCGTTTACCACAAATTCCCTTTGTATAAGTTTTTTTTTCATTGTTTTACATTTGAGTTGGCACGAGTTTTTAACTAAAGAAAATTCGATATATATATATATATATAATTATTATACATTTTTAGAAAAATTGGTATACCTTTAACATATTCGTATAATCCTTTTTTATTAAGCTTCTTCGCAATTTCTATGCATCTTTTATCATTCGCATTTTTCGATGAAATCTCATTCCCAGACCCAGTCTATATAAAGATTAATTAATAAATTATACACATACAATTATCGGAGTTGAAGTAGAAAAATCAGAGATCTGCAGGCCCGGCCCGGTGCAAATAGTACCGGTGCAGGTTTCTAAGAAAATTAGAAGAAAGTAAATTTATTATTATAGCAACTGGCTTTCTTCACTAATTATACCCTCTCTCGTAGAGTTTTGAAAAAAAATTATTTTAAATGAGATATTAGTAGACCTGATTGGCATATCCTAGATTGTCGGAAGGAAGTGAAGGAGGGGGGTTTATGGGATATTTTTAAGAATTTATTCCTATTAACAAATTTTGTTAATTTTTATTTTAGAAATTAAACCATTCAAAAAATTTCTTTTAAAGTATATATTTATTTTTTTAAAAAAATTTTGATGGTTGGTTAGCATGGGAGTGGGGTGTTGGCAGGAAACTTTTATTTAGCACCTAAGAAGATATTTACAAACACTGGCTAAGAATTTACCACCTCCTTCTACCCTCCTTTGGCTTTAAGCAAATGGACAGACCTTATATATTATGATTAAGTATTTAAAACTAAAATAAAAGCCAATTTATTATTACCACAAATATTTTATAGAAATCATCCCTATTTTCTTGTATTTAAATAAAAGCCAATTTATTATTACCACAAATATTTTATAGAAATCATCCCTATTTTCCTGTATTTATTCTTAAAAAAATTAAATGGAATACGAAATTAAAACATTGGATGTAGGTATAATAAATGACTTGACTTACTTTTTCACACTTGAAAAATCTGTCCATCACAGCAGCGCAATCATTCCTTTATTTATAATATAATATAAATATTATAGGTCTATATAATAATATATAAGGAATAATTAGGGATTTATAATAAATATTTAGGGATTAATGTCAAGGAGCAGGCGCGTACGCAACGGGAGGAGAGCAAGGGAACAAATCCCCCCCAAGCAGAAAATGCAGATGCCGGATATTTTTTTCAAAAATATTATTGTTTATATTAATTTATATTTGATAATATTTATTCCTATCTCATATTAAATATATATTTAATTACATTTATTTATCACATTCATCTATTAAGTTATTTTATCAATTAATTTCGATTTCAAGTTTTCATTGGCGTAATATTTATCTATTATTTTCAAATTTCTATCGGAGTAATATTTATCTACCATTTTCATATTTCTAGTCAAATAATAATTTTTCTGAAACTCCTTGTCCAACAGGGAGGAAGAAATTGCAAGCTTGTCCAACGAGATGGAGTCTCCGCCATCAAGCAGAAACAGCTTTTATGGAGTTAGAAGAGCCGATTATTAATGCTATTACTGAAATATCACAATGGTCTGAAAGAAATATTTCCTCAGAAGCAAGAAAATTATTGGATTCAATACCTATTTCAAATTTTTTTCCTCATTAGAATGTATTATTTAATTATACAACTATTTTATGTAAGACTTTTCAAACACATGGCAATGACTTGATTAAGAAGATGAGAATAGCGGAGAGCATTTTATTACAACTCAAGGAAATTAGGTCTAATGTTGATGAAGAATTTCAATTTTATATGTTATTGTTGAGTCAAAAAGAGAGCTATACTTGTTTAATATTTGTCTCCCTCGACTTGCAGCAAGGCAAGCTCATCGTCAAAACATTAGTATAAGATCAGTAGAAAAGTATTATAAAACTATAACCAAATAAATGAATGGTTTTTAATTCATCATGCAGCACTTACCAATCTGCAGATATTACTTCCACAAATGCCTTCCCAATCTTTTTCAGATGGTGATAGAAAAAAATAATATTTGTTTGATGCCTTATTAGCTGAATAACTATGTTTAAAAGATTAACTAAGATATAGTCCCAAAAAATGCTATGGATTCTTTGTATAATTTCAAACACATTTTAGATTATATTCTCAATTAAAATGATTATATATATATTAGCAACTCTTCCCATTAGTAAACTAATGAGAGAACATCTCTTTTTTAAGAAGAATAACAGAGCTCTGTAGAGGTACCTGCAGGGCACGGCCCTGATTTTTTTCCAAAATTTTTTTCGGCCAGCCCTAGGGGGTTTTTTTTAAAAAAAATTTTCAGGCCCGGTTCGGCTTTTTTTAAAATATATTGTATTTATTTTGGATTTTTATAGCTAATTTCAAATATTTGGTTTTAAAATATACAGCTGGGCCCGGATCATTTTTTTTTTAAAAAATTTAGGCCCGGCCTGGGTGTTTTTTTTAGAAATTTCGGGCCCGGTCCGGTTATATTTAAAAAATTAAATACGGTCCGGCCCAGGAACCGGGCCTGCAGTTCTCTGAAAAACATACCTAAGAAGTATCTGACAATGGATTAAATGGTTTGGATCTTTTAAATATTCATAGGTATTTGACGCCAAGCAAGGATGAGTAATTGAAAAATTAGCTCAATCCCAACGAAGATTGGATTTTACATTGTAAATATATAACATACAATACAATTATTCATAAGAAACTTTTTGTGTATTAATATTTATATTTCCAACATTTTAATTTTTTAAACTTTTATATAAATTTTAAAGGCTCAAAAAATTCAAATTTCTATTTTGGGTCATTTAAGTGATTCATATGGTGGCTATATTCACTTTATATTTTTTAATTCACATTTATTTTATAATTTTTTATGTGCCAGTTTATATATATAATTTTTTTATAATTCATATAATTTAAAATTGTGTATTAGAAATAGTTATTAGTCCTAATAAATTTATGTTTCATATTTTTAAATAACAATAATATTTCTTAAAAAATTTTATTATACCCCCCTCCCCCCCCCCAGACCAAATTCCTGCGTACGCGGCTGTGAAGAAGTAAAATAAATATTTTTTAAAAATAGAAGTAAAATTTTTAATAATTTTTTTAGATAAAGTGGGCAGTTTTGTAGATCTATTATCATTTTTAGTCTTATAAAACGATTCGATAAAAGCCCGGTATAAAAAAATGACCATATTTGTGGCCGAAAAATATTGTCTAATAGTGCGAACAAAAGCGCCAATAATACTTTTCAAATGGCCCCATGCAAATTAGTAAAATTACCGTTTGGCGTTAGCAACCATTTTAAAAAACGCAATACTTTTTTTTATTCTTTGTTTTGTAATATTATATAAAAATGTAATATAAATAACTTACTATTTATTAGGAATACAAATATAAAAGTAAATAATACAGAATACTTATCCAATATATACAAATAGTTTACATGTATACAACTTAAAAATATATTAAATCTAGTATATTTATATCAGAAATATTTAGAAATTAAAAAAAAAATAAGAACGCAGACGATAATGTAATTTTCAAAGACAAATCCTTTTTTCTTTAGAAACATTTTTGAATTGACGGATATTAAAAAAAAAAGACAACTTTAATTTAAACAGGTAATACGTTACGTTTCTTTTATTTAAAAAATTACGGCAAAACGTAAACGCTCAATTTGTGCGCACTATAATCCTCGAGATTTTGCTAATAGACGTCCAATACTTTGTGCCATCTACAAACAAAATCTTCAGGCTTGTCTATTTTAAAAATAGGCTCAAGTCGAGCCTCGTTTAACAACACTAATCATTTTCGTAAAAATTTTTCATATATGTCTTAATTAGATAAATTTCATATTTTTTCTCGAAAACTAAATATTAGCTAAGACCAGACGTGGGCTAGGGTTAGTTTATAAATCTATTTTATCTTATATTTAATATTGGTCATGTATATAATTTTTTAATTAAATAGAAGAAATTTGCCTACAAAAAAAAATCTATTAAAAACTCCAGTTGTTAAAAGATACTCTTTAAATGGATCTAGATACAGATACATCGTCTAAAATAATATCTAGATACAGATATTTTGATCAAAAATCTATCTAGATACAGATACCACATTAGATACAGGATCTAGATCCTTTAACAACTCTGAAAAACTCTAATTTTTATAATAAATTATCAATATTAAAATTGCCGCTAGGTGGAACCTATAGAAAGATAGCCTAACCCGGCCCGAAATAATTTAGAAAATTTATAGCAGTTGATCCAAACTGTAGCACGCCAGATGGTGCAGTTAATAAATATAAATATCGAAATCGGATATAATATAATAATTAAAAAAATTAATTTTAAATATCATGTTTTATACTTATTATCAGGTTTGCATTTCTTCCTTTGGAACGGAATTTCAAAACCAGAGCAATTCCCAGAATCTTCCCATTTAATATTTCTGTCTTCCGAATTCGAGATTCGTGAACTTTCTATAAGCATAAATAAAAAGGTATAATTTTTTATCTTGCAAATGTTTGATTTATATTTTAAAAAAATATATAATACTCTCTGCAAATGCGATAGAATTTTCAATCAAGAAAGCGACAATTAGAAGAATTCCAACCTTAATCATGACCAAAAAATAATAATATTTATTAAGTATAATTTTAAATAAAATATAAATATATATTTTTGAGAAATACAATTTTTATATTTTATCAAAACAGATTATACATATATTTTTTTTTCGCGAAAATCAAAAAAAAAAATCTAGACACCATAAGTTTCAGTTTCTCATTTAAAACGAGCAAAATATAATCTTTAATATAATGTTATATAATATTTTTTATTAATCTTGTAACTTAGTAAAATATTTGGAAAAAAATAATATTTCTTTATAGGTGGTATAATTTTTCAATCTAATATAAAAAAAAATTAACTAGATATATTACCATAAGTTCATAATTTTGGGAAAAATTCAATTTTGAAATATATAATATCTTATAATATTTAGAGAGATCCATCTGCAGAACCTGAGCCGCTAGCCCAGCTGGACAATTTAGCTAAAAATATATAACGGTTTAAACCGGGCTAACATTTAACTCGGGCTGGCCAATTAGGCCCGCTATAATTTATTCATAAAAAATAAGGCAGGGTTTGGTAAAATCTCTGATTTTGTCCGATGATATCTTTATTTTTGAAATTTCAAAAGCTAATATTTTGATTTGATCTATTTGAAAAAAAAAAATTACAATATGCTTATTTCTTTTTTATTTTAAGTAGCCGTCGAACTGAAATACTGAATATATTTATTAATATGATTACAGATCACAACAGATGTCAAACACAAGTGAATTATGAAAAGGAGTTGTTAAATAGAAATCCATTGGAGGAGAAGATATAAGAATTGTTTTTAAAAAAAAGATATAGATATTTAATATGTGATCGCTAAAAAATTATAAATTAAAAAAACGGGCCAGTAATTTTAACTGGCAGATTATCTTAAAAATCATAGCAAGCTTGACCGGCAAAGATTTTAAGAGATCGGGACGAGCAAAATTTGTATAAAATATTCTTAAGCGAGCCAGGTTTTGCAGACCTTAATTTCACAATAAACCTGTCCAAAAAACGAATCAAATATTTGGTCCGTTTTTAATAATTCGAATTGAATAGCCGAATACCAAATTATTGGTTTTGATTAGAATACTATTACGCAAATATTTTCTTTTATAGATATCGAATAATTTGTTATCGTCGAATCGATAATTGGAATTATTGGGCATATTTAGTAATATATTTCTTTAATTAAAATTTCATCTTCTTTTTTATTAGATAAATCCAACAATCTGGGAAAATATGATTTAACAAAGTATACATCGACTGCATATGAAAAGGCTTTTCTCTGTTGAAACTAATTTGCTGTCAAAACAACCGCACGCCTTATACTCTGCAATCACAGTTAGCGAGAATTCGCGGAGAAGTACAAACAAAATATCAAAACCATAAGAAAAACTAACATTTTACCTTAAAATTGCCTTGACATTATAAATTAAGTGTCCATTTTAATTTCGTTAATAACTTCATGGCCATTTATCATCCTATTATTATAATAATTTTTTTCTTAGTTTATAACTAAATTTGCAAATAAAAGAAAAGTTATTCGAAATCGAATACAAATAGTAAATTTTATTATTCGTACGAATTAGAATAGTAAATTACGAATAATAACCTATTCGATTCTCGTTGAATTTTGAATAGGCCTATCTCCCACCAATACAAAGTGGCAATCTAGCAAAAAAAGAAAGAAAGAAAGAAAGAAAGAAATAAATAAATAAACCGTCATCATGAGTAAAAAAATCGATCTTTAAACCAAATCTTCAATTTCTTTCTGAATATTTTTTTCTCAAGCACTTGTAATCATTTTGGACCGGGGTATAAAGATTGGTATTTTGCATTTTTTTAACAAAAATTGTGAAAGATAAGCAAAACAGAATAAATTATAAAATTTATATGTAATAAAATCCCTCATCTACAAAATAACAAAAAGTGGCTCTCTACCTATAATATCTTAGGAGCTGTAATTATTTATGTTAAGTATACCATTTTCCCCATTTTATCCCATACACTGGATAAAGTGGTTAAGCATCATGGTAAAGTGATTATAATAAATTACTATAACGTTTATTTGAACAAAATATTGCGATTTTGACATCTATTCATCTCTTTTAGTATAAACTAATCAATAGAATACTGAAATCTATAAAATTATATCAAAAAAATAGCATTTCTGAGTGTATTTTAGGCATATTGTACTCAACAATTATTCTTCCCCTTTGCGACAATTCTTAAAATTTTATTCTAAATAACACACAAACTATTTAATAATGTTCCCTTTCGCTTAAACGTATCTTTTTATATGTAATTGACGATAATATTTAAAAATTATCTTTTTTGCAAAGACCGAAGATTTTAACCATTTTACCCGTAACAACTTTGCCCCCAAAGTAATATAATAAAAAGTTATTGCGTGACTTCCAATTAAGCTATGAACTTCCTATTAGTTTTATTTTATATCTGCTTTAATAAGGAACATGTATAAAAAATTTTAAATTCTTTGATATATTTTGCTAAAAGTAGAATAAATTAGAGGATGATTTTTATAATTTATGGGTAAAAAATGTTTTTTTTTGGAAAAATATGTCAAACCAGCAAAGTTTTTCAAAGATGAACATAGATAAGAAAATAGATATAAAAATACACCTTTGTACCAAATTTATGATCTTTAAGCTCGAGGTTTAAAAAGTTATTAGCTTTAACATTATTACACCTTCAATCGCCTTACCCCGGTCTTCCCTATTTACATTTTAATTTCCTTTCTTAAATGAATTTAAGTTTCCTCAATTAGAAGAGTCGCATATTAAGCTTAGTTGACAGAAACTACTTCCTGATTCTATCCCAGTTCAACAAATATTTGATAAGTCCCTTTAGTATATGAAACATTAAACACCTAAACCAAATTTTAAAAAATTACTATAGTTTAGCAATAAAATTGTTTATCTATTAACAATAATTTTTAAGACTACCTTGTTGTTCCTTAAAATACTATATATTTAAAATATAATCCTTAACCAGGGAAAATTAATAAGATTGTTTCATTAAACATAAATCATCGATTTTAAACGTGTATAATTGGTATTGCTAATAAAATTCCCAATGAACCATCTGCATTTTTTTTTAAAATTAAATTATTTACCAGGGAGTTTGCCAGTTCTCGTAAATATTAATTTTAAGCTAATAAAAAATTTCCCATTCTATGCCCACACTTCCTTATACCCAGAAATGCAACCCAGAAACAAGATTTGGAAGAAAAAAAATAGTAATTTTAAAATAACAAATATAATTGAAAAAAATTAGAAAAAGTATTATTATAAAAATAAAGTGAAAACTCAAAATTATTTATATAAAAATTTAATATCGCCAAACGTCCTACAATATTTGGACATAAAAATTTCCAATAAAAATATGATTGGAGGGTGGGGGTGCTCTAATAGTGCTTTAGTCCCTCCCATGCCAACCCACTAGTAAAATCCTGACTAGCCTATACTTATAAAATCTCAAAATTAAGCCAAAAAATTATAAAAATTATTAATTTAGATTTTAAAAAGTCAAAAAATTAATGACTATACTAAATATCTTAGAGAGAATGTTATTTATAGAAATATTAATAAAAATATTATATATTTTGTTATTAAATAGTATTAAATTAATATTTTATATCACGAACTCATTAAATTATCTTAATTTATTTTTTTTAATATAATTAAAATTCCAGCTACTGCAATAATTTTTTTTTAAAAATTTTTAATTTATTTTATTGAAACAATAACAAAGATGTCATGTATTTATAAAAAATGACAGGTGTTATGTTATTTTTTTAGAGTTAACTTAGTATACATGTGAAGAGCATGGGAATTATCAGAGATTATTTGAAATATGTAAAAGGTCCTGTATTTAATGTCATAACTGGCCCGAAAGGAAACATTATATTTAATAAAGATAAAAACTTGTGCTTGACATCAAGCTCAGAGGATGTTGCTTCATATGATTTAAAAACTCAGGAAAAAGTAATAATTATATAGAAATTATTAATTTCTTGCAATGAAAAGGTCAAATGTTATTATGGCGAAACCTCAGAAGTTACCATCTTAACGAATAATCATACTAATGGCGACATAGCAGTTGGCTATAGAGATGGTTCTTTGCAAGTATTTCACATAAATGATCAGGAATCCTTTATCACTTTTAATGGTCATAAATCTTCCATTACTGCTTTAAATTATGACATTAAAGGTTACAGATTAATATCAGGCTCACAAGTTTTTACTTATATTTAGAAATAAAATAATTTAGATAATAGGATACAAATATTGTTGTTTGGGATATGATAAGTGAAACTGGACTTTTTAAATTTAAAGGTCATAAGGGCAATATTACACAATGTCGTTTTCTTCCCACATCAAGGAGATGTTTATTAGGAGGAATTTCATTAAATTTATCAGATGATAATTATATATGTGAAGACATAATTATATCCTCATCTAAAGATGGTGCCATGAAGTTTTGGGATCTTAATGCTCAACACTGTTTTAAAACACTGTTTGAAAATTCTTTAGAGATTTTAGATTTTATCCTAATTGATGGAACATTTAGTAGATTCTCAGAGAATCTAAAATCTTCAATAGATTGTAATAATGATATGGTAACCAAGAAAATGGATATTTTAAAATTTCGCCTCATTTCTTTAACTTCAGAAAATTCCCTTAAAATGTGGGATATCGAAAAACATAATTCAGAGAATGTTTATTATTTTATTTAAATTGTAAATATTTATTATTTTTAGATAAAATCAAATTCAAACAATACAGAATTATTAAAAACAGAGGAAGAAACAATAGTATATGATTCTCTGTTAGATGTAAATTATATTGGGCAAATATATCGTAACTCCAAATCACTTGGTACTCGATTAATGTCAGATCAATCCTTTAAATATATTGGTAACAAATATAAAATATCACATAAATAAATGATACTTCATATTAATTTTTAGTTATTATAAAAACTAATTCACAAATAAATTACATCTAAATATCTAATTTGTAAATCCTTTTTCACCACTGATCAATAAATTGAGATTTAAATTATCTAACCTCTAGGGATTATATAGTATATGTGTTGTAGGAGTTAAGCAAATTCAAATAAGTCTCATAGACTTGGGTTTTTAGCAAATCTTAAAAACTATTAATCACGTGTTTGTTAATTTAGAATGATCTGATTTTGTTGGAAATATATTCTGATATGGAATCTAATATTAAGGGGAGTTCAAAGCTTTTCTTCAAAATTATCTAGTGTTGTAAACGAACGCGTTCATGTTCCTTTTATTTTTGATGAACTTTGAACATGTTCCCTTTTTATGATGAACGCGTTCGAATTTAACGTTAATTCAATTTTAAAAATATTTTTATTTATTTGAAAAATTTAATATTTCCAAATTTTTTTAAAAAATGTATTATTTATATTTTTTTAATCGGCTGTGTATTTCCTTTTCACATTTCAATTTTTTTAACACATAGTTTATTAATTTGAATATTATTGTTTATATTTTAATTTAATTGATTAGCATAAGCATGGATATTATTATTTAATCCTCATCTCTGATTCTGAAAATCCAAAATCAGATGAATTATCATTTCTATGGCCAAATATGATAAATGTTTTTTATTAACATCCTATATTTAAGGAACTAATCCAATATACCAAGTGTAAAATGTGGCCAAAAAGTATTATATTGTCAAAATCTTCAGGTTCCAATTTAAAACGACATTTGATTTTAATATTAATTATTTGATCTTATATGATAACTAAGTTAAATCATTAAATTTGAAGAAATAATGCATTTGGGATATTTGACCCCAATGATAGTTATTTTATTTAAAAAAATTAGTGGCCTCAAATATGGTCAACCATTGATAGACGCCGTATTGAATAAGATTAATAAAAGGTATTAAACCTATCACTCTCAATTAATTACATATTTTTATTTTTTAAAGATTTGAACATATATATAAGCATCAATATGTTCATTCTGCAATTATACATCCAGCATTCAAACTTCAATGGCCATGGATAAAACTTCCACAGAACGAACCTATTAAAAATAAACTTTAGCGTTATTGAAAAAATGCTTTGAAAACCCTAGAGAACTGTTAATTTATAGATATCCTTTTTTTTGTCGTGAGTAGAGAAGGGATTGGAGGATAACTTATCTCAATTTTTTGCAAATAACAAAACAATATGTTTTTAATTAATTCTCCACGTTAAAAGAGCTGTTTATTAAGTATAATACAGCAATCCCCTTATCTGCCCCTGTAGAGCGCGTTTTAGTTTAGCTAATGCCGTATTAACTGACAAGTGTTCCTGTCTATCAGTTAAATATTTTGAAAACAAATTGTTATTAAAATTTAATAAGAAAATTTTTTTATAAATAAAAATATCTTTTTATTCGCTATATTATATTATATTATCAAAATAAAACTATATTATTTTTTAACATGGCTAAAATATATTGTATTAAAAAATATAAGTTTATTTATTAAATTAAATTTAAAAAAAAATTTATCATAAAATTTTGAACGGTTTTATGAACGTGAACGCGTTCGATTTTCGATTTTTTTAGAAATGTTTACAGCACTAAAATTATCTGATATTGACAGGGTTTAGGTACTCTATATAGGTTGGAATATAATTCTAACATAATTAAGTCCTTCAGAATTAAAACCTGGGTAGTTAATAATTTAAGCTTTAAATATTTTCTAAGAATCTAGATTTGTTACACTCCTACTTCACTCACCGGATCTCCATAAAATATCTAACATATTATATAACTACCTACTTTTCTCTTTTTATAATTATAAAAATTAATAGTTCGCCATTTTGAAATAAATGATTTTTTAAATATAAAAAAAATGTGTATATATATATAGGTTGCCATGGCAATGACAGAACGCTAACCCTTTACCAAATTACCCCGGATGCCAAATTAAACAAAATTTATCGTAAGCACAAGTCTAGTCTCATATCTTACAATGGTAAAGAATTATTAAAATAGTACGAAATATAATGAAAACCTAAATTTTCCATTTTTTCAGAATAATCAATTAAATAATATTATTTTTTTCTGTCAAATTCTGAAATATGTATATCAGAGACCTGTAGACCTGACCTGACCCAGGTGCGGCCATATTTAATTTTTTTAAATATATCAGGGATGGGCCTTAGCCTAAAAATATAAAACCGGGGCTGGGCAGGGCCAAATTTTGAAAAAAAAATCTAGGCCTGGCCATGCTATGGTGTATATTATTCTTAGGACCTCTGCACTAGTAAAAAATATGTTTAAAGACTTGCGAATATGTGCTGAAAAGTAAAATATCACTAATAAAATAAAAATTAATTAAAAATTTATGATACAATAAATTAAATTATAATTTTTCAAATAAAAATATTATATTTTATAAAGTATGATAAAATATTTTGCAATGAAATAATTATATTTATATCAAGGGATAGGAAAACATAAAAATTTCCTGTTATTTCCCTGAGAATTTCCCTACCTTTACATATACCCTCCATCACCATCTAAAGGCTAAAATCTTACTATAATTAATTATCGGAAACATGTTTTTTATCGATTTTTTGAAAATAATTAAAATATGATTTATCAAAATTACTTTATGTTTCCCAAACATTTTTTACCCATATTTATTTGCCCAGTGTCTAAATATTATATATATATAAAAATATATTAAATTAAAAAAAAATTTTTTAATATACCGCCGCCGCCACCACCAATTTATTTGGGTGGCGGGTAAATTTACCCCCACTTCTCGACAACCTCCTATTTATATCTCGGGCACACTGGTCTAGTTATACCGGAATGAATCAAGCCGGTATGTCCTTATAATTCGCAGAACCTTGACCCTAAGCGAACATATATACTTTTTTTTCTGAGTCTGTTTAAGAGAATCTTTGTTTTATATATAAATTGTAATTTAAGACCTTACATATTTTATAAGTGACACTTTCCCTCGAAAATTCTTACGATTTTTTTTTTAAATCTTCATTTATTTATTTTTCTAGTTATAAGTGATTGATTGGGTTTTTTTTTTAAAACATTGGAGAAGTTAAGTTGTATACATAAATTCTTTCTTTCTTTCTTAAAATTTTTTTGGAGTTTTATAAATAAAGTTTAAACAAATCCTTTATTTAAACGACCCCCGTATTTAGGGCCGGGACTTATTTTGACTTTTTAAGATAAACCTGTGCCGGACCGGACCTGTTTTTAAAAAAACCTGGCCAGGCCGAAAATTCTTTTCAAAAAGAAATCCGCCTGGTCGGTCTGTGCAAATGGTACCTCTGCAGGTTTCTGATAAATAATATAAGATATTTTAAAAACCTGAGAACAAATACCTTTATAATTTATCTAAAACCGTAACCCGTTCATTTTTAGCAGCCGAATATCCTAACCGAACCCGAATTTGTGAAATAAAAAATATTCCCAATTTTTGGGGGGATTTAGAATGGGAACCGATGTTTGTAAAAAGAAAGGAAAACACGTATAAATCCTGATATGTTGCATTTTTATAAATGATTTTTACGTCTCAATTGGAAAAGAAAAAATTAGCTTCGTTGAATTTCCACACGTTTAATATTGCTTTTCATATCATATTTTGTAACAAATAGAACAAAAAAGAATAAACTTCATAATGCAATTATCCAAGAAATCTCTGAATATTATATGAATGCATAACAATTTATGATAGATGATGAGATTAGTGAATAAATATATATTTTGAGTTTGCGATACATATCCTTGGGCTGAGGCCTGGATCTTTAAAAAAAAAATCACATTAGGTTGCGGACAGGCTCGGTCCAAAAAAAGGATTTCTGGTAATTTTTTTAAACATCACTTATATGAAAAACAATAAAAACCTAGATAACGTTAATGTAGCCGAGAACTCCCTACTTCCCGAGAGACTAGTGGATTTAGAGATTAAACCATTCGAAGAAGACATAGTGTTATTGGATGCGAAAATTAAGTCCGCCCAACTTTCATCAAGTCATCATACCTCAACAATTTCCTCCGTCGATACTGGCAAAAGCGGTAAGCGGAATAAGAAGAAAAGGTTGAAGGGTAGGGATGGGAGTGCGCCAAATGTAGAAATTTTGAAGGTTTATTATTATTAAGCATTTTTTAAAAAAATAATGATTCTTAGGTTGGTTTCAATTTATTTAAAGGAAGAAAGGGATTTTTTTTCGCGGGATAAAGAACTGGTAGCCTAAAATCTTTGTGATATTTATATGATAGAAGGGTCATGATATAAATAAAAGTATTAAAAAATGGCGTTATCTATAAAACCGACCGATATTTTTGGACCTATTCTTATACTTATCGGTATACTTCTTGTTATGCCATTTTTGTTATTCGTAAATCTAAATCTTTAAACAAGGCTTTCATAATGCAAAGCGACAACAAGATATCGCAATACGAATTTAGCTTTGATTATAGTAGCGTCGGCAAAAGCTCCGAAAATCGTGCGAAAGAATTCGAAGGCGATGATGTCGACATCGAGAAAAAGTGTGGGTGGCGACTAACCTCCCTGTTAGAAAGTCAAGGACACTCTTCCGACGTTCGGTCTTTGGGTGTTAGCCAGGACCAGTCCTTGATACTCTCCTCCAGTGGAGAAAGCGTCAAAATATGGAATAGGTATTTATTATATTTTTTTAATATTTACTATTCGCAATTATAACAATCGAATAAGGGAATACATATTTTACTAACTCAAACGAATGCGAATATATAAATTAATCGATTCGTTCAACACCAAACACGAATAATTCCACTATTCGATTGGTATCCGTTTTTGGATATTATTTCCATTTTTATTCTTCTTCTCCGTTTTATGGCGATTTCCAGGTTTACCCGGGTAGGCCAGTTTTCCCTCTGATTTTTCTTTTCCATTTTTGACGGTCCTGAGCATCAATACTTGTAAGATTCAAGCTTCTCATATCCGCCGCTATCACATTTGTCCACGTCATCTTGGGTCTTCCTCTAGGTCTTGATCCTCCTACTTCCATCATTGTGCATCTCTTAACCCAGTCATCTCTTGTCATACGTTCCACATGCCCAAACCATCTTAGTCTATTTCGTCGCATTACCATACCAATCATTTCTATACCTAATCTTGCTCGCAATTCCTTGCTAGTTTTTCTCTCTCTCAGAGATACCCCACACATCCATCTAACCATCCTCATCTCTGTTCTTTCTAATTTGGCTTCGTGAATTGCTTTCATTGCCCATGTTTCACCGCCATAAACTAAACAACTCCTCACGCAGCTTACGTAAACTTTCCCCTTTAACTTCAGAGAAACTTTTTTATTTGTAAGAATAGACGACATCTCTCTGAACTTCTTCCAAGCTTGTCTGATCCTTGCAACAACAGCAGAATCTACACCACCATCTGCGTTTAGCATATCACCTAAATAACAAAACTTATCCACTTTTTCTAGGTTTAACCCATTGCCAATATCCAGACCACCATTTTTTAGGTTATCATTATTATGTATCCCTTTCATGCATGTTTTACAAATAAAGGTCATTCTTTCTAACATCAAACTGCCTTTTTTCCCACTACATCTTTTATGTACCCATTTCTGGCATCTGGTGCATTGGATAGAATTTCTAGCAACTCCTTTCCCACATACACCACAAGGCCACTTACCTGATTCTTCTATCTTTAGATTTTCCCCACCAATCATCACCTTTGTTTTTGATGCATTCATTTTCAGGCCCTTTGCTTCCATAGTCATCTTCCATTTACTAACTTTATCCCTCAATTCTCCCTCACTGTTTGCCATTAATACAAGGTCATCTGCATATAATATCTCCCAGGGAAGTCCTTCACGCATTTCTCTAGCCACCACATCCATTACTAAGATAAATAATAATGGACTCAGCACGGATCCTTGATGAAGTCCTACCTTCACCTCAAAGCTGTCACTATCACCATAATCCGTCCGTACTGCTGTTTGTGCTCCAACATACATTGCCATCACTGCGGTAACTAACCATTCCTCCACACCGGATTTTCTCAAGGCCCATCTTGTAATCTCACGCGGCACCCTATCAAATGCTTTCTCCAAATCAACAAACGCATAATAGAGTTTCTTTTCCTTCGCAAGATACTTCTCCTGAATTTGTCTCACCACAAAAATTGCATCTGTCGTGCCTTTTCCCGATGTAAAACCAAACTGCATTTCATCAATTTTGATTTGTTCCCTTATCCGCTTTTCTAACACTCTCAAATACTTTCATTGCATGTTACAAGAGTTTAATAGCTCTGTAAGACCCACAATCTAAAGGATCACCTTTCCCCTTGTATACTGGGATAATTATACTTCTTCGCCAGTCCTCGGGAATAGTACCTTCTGTGACAATCTGATTTGCTAAATTCATTAACCATTCATTCCCTAAATCATCAGAACCTTTAAACATCTCTGATACCACCATCGTTAAACCCGATGCCTTCCCTTTCTTCATCTTTTTCACTGCTCTCCTTATCTCGTCCTTGCCAAATTTACACCCTGGACCTTCTACCTTTGCACAACTAATATTATTATTCCATTCATTATCTTCTTTCAATAGTCCTTTCATGTAAATCTTCCAGGTGTTCTTAATACCACTACTATCAATCGTCATTTTTCCTTCCATATTTTTCAAACACTTTACACCTATCACATCCTGCCTCTTTTTTGACATCTGTTTTGCCATTCTAACCATATTTCTAATTCCATCAGCGCATTTCATTTCTTTAGCAAACTCGTGTCTTTTTTCTTCTTGAGCCTTCGCTATTAATTTCTTAGCATTTCTTTTAGCCATCTTGTAAATATCATTATCACTATTTTCTTTGCTATTATACCATACTTTGAAACACCTCCGTTTCTCATCCACGGCTTTCGCTACCTCTGGGCTCCACCACCAAGTCTCCTTATGTCTAGGCGGCCCTTTTGTCCATCCACATACCTCCTCAGTTGTCATTACCCAAGCTTTCTTCATAGCTTCCCACTTGTCATTCACCCCAGATGCTTGTGCCACCTCCGCCTCCCTAATCGCCAATGCCATATTGAATTGACATCTAGCATTCTCCTCCTTCAATTTCCAAACCTTCAGCCTTGGGACAAACTTTCTTTTAGTGACCCTGGCACCTTTAAGAGTGAGATCTCCTACAACTAGTCGATGCTGATTTATACATTCCTCTCCCGGTATCACTTTCACATTTTTAATTATACATCGATCACATCTCCTTAATAACAAGTAATCCACAACACTTTTGGTACTACCCGACTTATAAGTCACCAGCTTCTCTGATTCTTTCTTAAACATTGTATTACAAACAATCATATCCATAGCATCACTAAATTCTAAAATCCTCTCTCCTTCCAAATTTCTCATGCCGTAACTGAACCCTTCATGTACTCTTTCATAACCCTCACTACTCGCTCCCACATGTCCATTTAGATCGCCAGCCAGGATAATCCCCTCTTCATTTGCCAGTCTCGATGTCACCCCCAATAGACTGTCCCAAAATACATCTTTCTCTTCTTCACTTCTTCCAACCTGAGGAACATATGCCGAGATCATATTATATAGCTTTCTACCAATAATCATCTTGATAACCATTATCTGGTTGTCTAGCCTTCTCACTTCGACTACTTTGTCTACCAATTTCTCCGCAACCAATACCCCAACTCCAGCCTTACCATCATTACCTCCTTGCCAAAAGAATTTATACTTTTCGCTAGTCTTGCCAATCATTCTGGTCCCATTTCCTTTCCATCTAGTCTCCTGTATGCAGCACACATCTATATGTCTTCTGTGCAATACATCGACGACTTCTCCCGCTCTTCCCGTCATACTCCCAACATTCCATGTCGCGACCCTATCGATCACCCGTAAACTGGTTTCTCCACTTTTTATCAGGTCGTTTATGGCCGTCATAGGTTTCATTTTCATGAATAGTGGTTCCACCAGGTTTCCCATCCTTCTTTTTGTCGTAGGCGGATGAGGAGGCCCACGGGGTACTTTGGGCTGTACCCCGCCCATGCTTTGTTGTAACCATAGGGAAATTTTTGTAGCATGGTTTTTACAATCGGATGCCCTTCCTGACATCAACCTCTTTAAGTGGTTTTTTCTAGACCCAGATCACAGGGAACCTTTTAGACCTCCATTTGCCGCCAAAAGACGTTGCCACTCCCCCGCCACGATGAGGCTGAAGTTAGGATTTTGGGAGAGATTATTTCCATTTTTATATATCCAACCAATCGAAAAACTTCACTATATCCTTGGGCAACGTTTTATATTTCATTCATTTATTTAAACACCTTTACATTAATCAAATTAAATAGTCGCCTTAAAAATTAAACTTTTTTTTTTTAAAAAAACAAAAAAAGATTAAATCAGAGATGCATAAGGACTATGCCCTGCGAATATGGCCTGTGTTCTTTATTCTTGCCCGGCGACAAATTCATAGCTGTCGGATCTAAGGTAATTAGAGATTGTTGTAAAGTGTTATTAATGTGAAATAAAAGTTATTAATGTGAATTCAAAAAAAAAATGTTTCCGTCTTCGCGTAAACGGCTCGTTCAACTTGCCCCCTTTCGCGATAATAGGTTTTCCCGGACCTAACTTTTTGGTCTAGACTTTACGCTATAAATTGGATACATGTTTATTTTATTTTTTTTATCAATAATGATAGACTGGGAGAATTCATTTGTACGATTGTCAAACGGGTGAGTTATTGGAAAACGTCGAAGCTCACGTCGGTCCAGTGTGGGCCATTTGCTTGCATCCTAACCAGGTGTAATTTTTTGTTTTAAACATTTATTCCTATTTTTTCGAAATTTGTTAAACGACAGTCGTTAAACATTTCTTTTTTTTTAAAAAAAACAATATAATAACGTAATATAAATCTTACTTATAACGTAAATGTATTATATATGTTTCAGGTTTTAATAGAATAACGGATTCCTAATCTCGCATTTTAAAATCTTTGTAAAGGCAAATTTTTAATTTTGAAAAAAAAATCTTGTTAATTGGAAATGTATTCCAATATAAAACTTTGCCCTATCTATTTCACACAATTTCGCCATAAACCTTTGTGTATATTTTTAAAATGTGAAAGCTATTTAAGACAAAATATGGGAGAGCATTTAAGCGAAATTTCAATCGTGTCTAACAAACCAATTATATTGATATTGAATATTGCTGACTTCAATGTAATCATCCGTTCTAGGTCTGGTATTAATCCCATTGGTGGAACATGTGCCCGAATGAATTTCTAGAAAAATTTATGACATGTGCACTTATATCAATTTTCTCTGATATTTTAATAATATATTTCCTAATTTTTTGATCGACTCCACGCTTATCTTAAGTCAAAAGTTATCGCTTTGTCCCAAGGAGTTATAAAAACAAAATATGATTGACATTTTATATCTGTATAATTTTTTCTCCCCCATAATTAAGATGAAGCCTAATATCGATATCGTTTTAACTAATTATTTTTTAAAAAAAAAATACATTTTTAAGACGTCTATAATTAGTGGCGGAGGCGACAAAACCGTTAAATTTTGGGAATTAGAACTTGTCGAGGATTTGGTTTATTCGCCGGTCCTCAAACGCTTGACGCTTATTAACAGCAGGTCCTTCGTTCTGCCCGACGATATTCTATGTCTCAAGGCTAGGTTGGTTATATACGCATAAATGGAAACTAAAATATTAATTATTTATTCTTAATCACCCTATTTAAGTCCGGACGAAAGATTCCTGGCTGTCGGTTTGTTGGACAACACGGTGAAAATCTTCTATTTGGATACGCTCAAGGTGAGAAACGAAAATCACCAAATATTTTCCTGATTTATATATCCTATAATAGCGCCGATACATGTCAACTCATTTTTTTCTAAAAGTTATAATTAGCAGATTTAACTCTCCTCCTTCCTCCCCTCCCCCCATTTATTTTATGATAATAATACGCGCACCATTATTCCCAACATTATTTTTTGAAAAATCAAAAAATATGCCCACAGTTTTACTTGTGTCTCTACGGGCATTCCATGCCGGTCACGTGCTTGGACATAAGCTCGGATAGCGATCTTCTCGTGACCGGTTCCAACGACAAGGTGATCAAGATATGGGGAGCCAAGTTCGGTGATTGCCACAAAACCCTGTTCGGCCATTCGGATACTATTACGAATGTTTTGTTCCTTCCGCCCGCTAGTGAGATCTATTTATATTGATATATAATTTAAAAGAATTTGGAGATATAAGGGGAAAAAAAGAGAATTATATTTAATATTATCCTCTATAATTTTAATTAGGAGATTATTTTATAAATTTTGAATTTTGAATCCATATATTTTAGTTTGGAATCCTTAGTTTAAAAAACAGGTTCTGGTTCACGATCCCGAATATTTTTGCGATAAGCTACCATACCAGTTTCTGGAAAATTTTACTAATTTCCGGTTATTATGTGTTATCAAGTTCTGGTATTTTTTGTTAGAACCCGATTTCAGTTTCCCAGAATATATTTGTGATCACGAAAATAAAGTGTTATGGATAGATAATTTCTTTCTTTCTCTCTTTCTAAGAAAGAAAGGGAAAGAGAAGTGAGTTAGCGCCAAATTGTCAAAAATTATTTTTTTATGGGCTGAGTAGGAATTTTGAAAATGATTTTGAAGTTGATGAGCTAAAAATTTAAGTTGTTTTTCTTCATAAATAAAAAAAGGGCTGGGTTGGACAACTTGTTATATAAAAGATTTATGAAGATTTGGGTTCATATATATATCCCCGTTTAACGGGATAGAATAATGTTAAAACTCGAAAGGGAATATAGTATATATATATAATCTTTCAACATCTTATCCATTGTTACCTTTAGACAGGAAAAAAATTGTCATTTGACTTTTATCTACTTAGTATTTGTGAGAAGCGGTTAATATGACAAAAATACATTTTTATAAAAATTTGGGTAAAAGAAACAGTTCCTTTATTTCTTTTTTTTCCTTCTTTCTTTTCTTTTCTTTCCTTCTTTCTTTTCTTTCTACTCTTTAATAAGAGAAGAGGGAGAGAGGGAGGAAGGAAGGGGTATAAAGGAAAGAATAAGGTAGGTAGATTGGAACAAATCGATTCAAAAAATATACATCTTATAATTATTTAAAATCCTAATCAAAAATTTGTAGAAACCTCACTTAAAACGGTTCTAACAAAAAATACAAACGAATTATTATTGGATAGTTTATTTGTGAAGTTAGTGTTTATTAACAGAGTTGGGAAAGTGAACCAATATTCACTTTTGTATTTCAAAACGGCACCAGCTTTCAAGTCCAGATTCCAATTGACCTTATTGTTGCTTAAATATCATTATTATTATTACTATGCATTTTTTTAGACGTGTTTGAAATGGGAGGCCAAGAAAGACTGGAAAGAGACTCGCATCTGTTTTTTAGCGCGGGAAAAGATGGGCTCATCATCCAATGGGACGCTGATAAATTCGAAAAGATTTTCGTTTTGAAGGTTTATAAATTTCAAAATCTTGATCTCCTATACCTTATCTTGCACTTGTTTAATTTTAATAATTTGGGAAAAACATTAAATAGGAAACCGAACTGTGCTGAAATAATGAGCATGACGTCACTACCTCAACTTTTGCCATAATTAATTAATATAAAAAATCGCCGCTGTTTGGAGTTGGAGGCTAAAAAAAATTTTCCTATGTTATAATATATTACAAACTCTTATAAGAATTTTAGAAAAATTTTTAAGGGGTCGGGTTGAATATCATGTTTTTTTTGTTGCTTTGTCATGGAATTCAAGATATATATATATATAACATATTTATTATCCTTTATTTGATTGATGATTTTCCAAACGATCACTATTTTTTAAATGCAATGTCTCATTTACATAATCCGAATTCATAAATTGTATTTATCTATATATTATTATTAATAATAGGGTCACCACGCTGAAATATGGAGCGTAGCGGTATGCTCGACTTTCCTGATATCGGCGTCGCACGATAAAACTTTGCGAATTTGGTACAAATCGGACGAAATCATTAATCCTAAAGAAGAAGCAGAAAGGGAGATGCTGGAAGCTAGCGAAATGGACGATATAACTAATCTGCCGACTAACGTAAAATACAAATAAAAAAAGATTTTTGTATTTGAATCAATTTGTAAGATGCGCTCTATATATATCATATATTATAAATGAGTAATGGGGAAAAAAAGGAAAGATAGAATATTTTAATTGAATATTTTATTATTATTAAAAAACTCATTTTTTTATATCAGGTTCCTTTGAATTTAGAGGCCAATGGGGAGTGCGGTTTAGCCTCGGCCAAATCGTTAGAAACCTTGGATTCCACCGAAAGGCTGATACAGGCCCTCGAGTTTTACTCCAAGCAATGTGAGATGATGTGCGAGGATAAAACTTCAGTCAAAGGTAAATAATATTAATGTATTATATATGTATATGATCGATGCAACTATTTATTTTCTTGAACTCCTGCTTTTGCCATTATGGCCAAATAAAAATGTTCCATTTTAGATTGCGAACTAGGCCTTTTTTTTAAATCCCCATAAAATTCTAAAATAACTCCACGAGGAAATTACTAACATATTTTGTTTTTAAAGTTTCTACTACCAGCCAAAAATCGCTAAGCGCCGACGCTATAATCGACGAGGATGAAGAAGTAGAGAGAAGCGGTGATGTCGAAATGAATGATGTTTCTGACGACGAAGGATTTGCGGAAGCAATTATGTATGGCCAAAGTTCTACCATAGTTCAATTACCGGGTGTGTTAATTTTGTTTTATTTTAAATTTATTTTGCTTGAAATATCCTTTTTTTATAGCGGATTTCTTAAAATTTGACTTTTATGTAGATTCCCTGAAAATTCGAGATATTATTGTCACTTTTAAAACATTTCGTAAACCTGTTTTAATATTTGAATCGCCTCCTGTTCCTTATATCTTAATCACAATTATTTTCTCCTCAATACAAATTCCATATAAAAAAAAACTTGTTTGACCGATTTGTCATGAGGTAATTGGTTTAGAAATATTAATTTTTTTATATTTATATTCCTTCGGAATACTACATTTATTTTGCCTTAAGCCCTCGAATTAAGGGATCTTCGAGTTGGACACCCAATAGTTATTACAAATTTTTTAAATAATTTTAAAAAATACGTAAAAGTTATAAAGTTTTTATTTTATTTTTTTACCAATTCTTATATTTCCAGAGGATCTCGGGGAAAACGTCGTCAACGCTGAAGTAATAACGGAAAGCGAAATTACGTATTCTTCGACCACCGAACTCAAAACTCTTGGCCAAATTTTGCTGGAAAGACAAAGGGGTGCCAATGGTAACATGATGGGGGTGGGGAGAGGAAAACAAGAAATCAGTCCAGAAATTTGGGCTCTCAACACTTGTCTCAAGCAAATTAAATATAGGTACAATGTTCATTTTGCATTTCCTCCATAGTTTTACACAGTGGTTCGAACGCAACCCGAACTCGGAGAAAAAACCCGGGTTTTTGTTGGGAAGATAATCTGAACCCGAACCGAATCTGAACCCCGTTTATAAAATTTTACCCCGAACCGAACCCGGGAATTTTATTTGAACTCATATAATTGTAAATACAAATATTAAAAATTTACTTGACATTCTATAATATCTTCGAATTTCCCATTAAGTGAAGTGTTAATAAATTTTAAACAACTTAATTCATTTACTCCATTCTCAAAAATTCCTATTGGATTGTTAATAAATTTTAAACAATTAAATTTCATTTATGCCATTTATTTTTAATTTCTTATTCTCAAAGATTATTAATTAGAGGAAAATGAAAGTGAACAAGTCAAAGTAAAAATTATTATTAGGGGATATTGTTAATTTAAAGAAATACGTCTAAATAAAATTTTTTATACATGACTATGCTTTGTATTTTTAACTATATTTTGCCTATAAATAAAATAAAAAATTTATTTTTTATACCTAATTTATATCTAATTTTTTTATTTAAGATTATAATATAGATTTTTTTTTTAAAATCAATTTGAAAATTCTTAAACCCGGAACTAAACCCGGGTTCAAAAATATTTCCCTGAACCGAACCCGAACCGAACCCACCTAATTTTTTTAAACCTTAAACCAAACCCAGGCAAAAATTTTGCCGAATTCACATCCCTGGTTTTACATAGTAGCTTTTAGTTTTTCACTAAACCTTGATGATTTGATTGGTTAGAGAGATTAGAGGTCTGCCATAGGCGGGTCTAAAAAGCCCGCCTACTAATTGTTTTAAAATTTATTTAACCCGCCCTCCCGCTCACCTAAAATTTTTACCTACATCTATAAACATATATTAATTGATTGACATTCAAAACTTGACAGTTATACATCAATATAATAATAAAAAAATATCAATACCTTCAATGTATTGGATTGGTTGGATGAATTTTTTTTTTCCCCCTAACACATCACGAGCTAATTAAATAAATTTACCTATTGAAGAGTGATGGATTCTAAACAGGAGAATAAAAAGTTTTTTGACCACGTTATAAATACTACTATTCTTTTTCTGTACTATTTTAATTTGTATCATCTTTAGGAATTCTTTCGAACTTGTAAGGTGTCATTTCAAAATTAGGGATTGTTATTTTTTAAAGTATATACAATACAAAGATCAAACTATTTTTTTTTCTTTACAGTGAACTAGAATACTCTACGCTCCTGTTACCTCGACAGCACGTCACCATTCTTCTCGATCTGCTGTACAAATACCTGGAACCGTATATTACAACAAATGGCAATTCCCTAAACTCCTCTACTACCACCTTGATAGATGGTCAATCCTTGGAAATCACCGTGAAACTTCTATGTTTCTTACTCAAGACTCAATACATGGCCACATCCTTCGGCTCTAGTTCAACTTCCAATTTATCGTTCTCCGTTCCGGACTCGTATATTCCGGCCATTTTGGCGCTAAAAGACAAGATTTGCTCATTGGTGAATGGTTACAAAAACATTTTGGGTTTCAATCAAACCGTATTGCGACATTTGAATCTAAGAATAAATTCTCATAAGAGCAATGATCGAGATAAAGGTCTTACAAGTGTAAACGCGAATTTAAAATTTAATAATCGTCAACATAATGATCAAAAGGGCGGTCTCAAAAGAAAAAAAAAGAGGAACAAAAACGCGCCAAAATTATAATTTTCCTTTTTCTAATGTTATAAATATATAGATAATGCAAGAGATTCGAATGGACCAATAAAGAGATTGCTTTGATTTTTGTTTAAATTCGTATTCAAAATAAAAAGAAGAATATTTTGAGATTTTAATTATTTTTTTTCAAATTTATTGAATAATATCTTTAAATTATGATATTTATTAATATTATTTTTTTTTTAAATAGAACTTTTTTAGGCTTTCTTAGGTTCTAAGGGAACCAATAGCTCCATAATTAATTGCTCTTTTTTTAGAAGTGAGTGAGCAGAAACTGTTTAGGGTTTCTCATACTCCATTATTCTTTGATGATTTAATTTGGGTTGTTTGTAGGATTCTGCTATATTCTACGCCTTTTTTTATATCATTATTTATTTGTCACTCTATTTTCTTACACCTAGTGTTGTTAAAGGGCTCGTTTTGAGTCGATTTTTAGAAACGGCTGACTTAATATTTTATCCAGAAGAATATTTACGCAAGCCTGAAGATTTTGCTCATAGAAGAAACAAAGGTCGACAGATTTTATCCAAATCTCGAGCTTTAGGCAATATTTTTCTGGCTAAAATATTGAGTTTTGCCTTTTTAAAAAATCAGCTCACAACGAGCCCTTTAACAACACTACTTAGAACCCATTTTAATATTAGTGGGTATCGTTTTCAACGTTTACTTTTGTTTTCTTACATACATTTTATTTCAATATAATAGTTGAAACAAATACAATTTGTATTTTAAAATATTTTGAAGACGAAAAAAATACGTCGTTTTATAGGTTTTTTTTATTTTTGTTAAATACACAAATTTTTTTGTTTTGTTTTAGTATTTGTGAATCTGTCATGGGTTACTTTATTTGAATATTTACTGATATGATATGATGTCAAAATGTATTAGCAAATAATTAATTTTTTAAAAAGGTAAAATAAATAAAGGGTAGAAATAGAATTTATGGGAAAGGATAGGGGATAAAAAAAAGGAAGCTTGGAAAATGGAAGAGATGAAGCTTAGATAGTTAGAACGAATGATGGTAAATAAAAAAATTTTAACTTTAAAAAATAAATAAAATATTTTCAAAAATTTGTTGTCTTAATAAAGGTTCGCCAATTATTCTTCAAAAAAATAAGCTTCCTCTAGACACTAAACAAACTTTCTACGGGAGAGCGCTTTATCTAAGACATTTAATAAAAAGTTATTTAGATTTGGGAAGATCTTCATATAATTATAATAAATGATATGTATATGTTAGCGGATGTGTTATTTTTTCAACTGTTTTTAATAATTTAAAAATATAATTTTACCGAAAAATGTATTCCAGCATATTTTAGAATACCTTACATCAGGAATCGTAGATAATTTTACCGTTAATCTTCGAGTCATTTATAATTTATGGGAAAAACATTGTATGAAATTCATAGTGTAATAGGTATTCCAAACATAATGAAATGCCTTTCCGGTCAAATCAGATATATAAATTTTAAAAAATGGCGCTCAAAAATGATTGGAAAAAATATATATATTATTTAACATATTTTAAAAAAGTAATAGCTAAAAGTAACTAGTTATTTTACCAGCACCAGTAATTATGATTAAAATTTACTCATTACTTCTGACTGAGTCTTAATAAAATCGATAGTTTTGAGTTTTATTTGGTAAGCCTCCGATTATTCCACGATATTTAAACCTTTTATCTTTCCTTAATTCCAGGGTTTTTCTTAGCCTAAGAATAAGTCCGCTACGAAACCGGGTTCCCTTGTCTCAGACCCCCTGAATCGACCATAGTTTATCCCTTCCTCTCTCCCGCCGTTCATGGGGCCCGTGCGCTTGGACCAGAACGTTAACAGATTCAAATCTGTTTACATTTTTTTATATTAAACGCCAAACACTCATCATTTTTCATATTTTTCTTTCGATTCCAATATGCGATGCCGAATATTTTTGCAAATGCCGATCCCATTTCGAAATCTGATCATTAGAATTCTTTGGTTTTTTTAAGGACCCGTCTATTTAAATACAGATCATATTCTTAAGAGACTTTTAGACCAGAGGTGGACTGGTCATTTAGAAACATCTCGCATCATTTATGAGAATTTGAGGCTATTGGTGAAGTATTATTTTACTTTTCTAATAGAATTCTTAATTCACAGGTTTCTACTCATGATTCAGTCGAAGCCTCTGGTCTTTTATCTAAGTCTATCAGGTTGGGTTCAAGACTCGAAGAAAAGAATGGCAAAATCTTCGAATACTTAAAGGAAAATAGAGAGTATACGATTTATTTTTTTTGAATGAAAGTTCATTTAAATCGTGAAAATTCTCAAATTTTGTCCATTTTTTTAACTTTTAAGACATAGCTTTATGAGGGTGGGGGGAATCTTTTTAAAAATAGAAATTAAATTATCGCTTATTTTAAAAATCGGACACCGAATGATTTTTAAAGTCACTTTTATTGAATCAAAAAAAATATCACTTAACAAATCTCCATAAAAATTAATGAATAATCAATATATTTAATTTTACAATTAATAAAACATCTGATTGTCATTTTTTTACTATATTTTATATTATACATATTTTATTAGTATTTACAACACTTATGATGATAGTGGCTAGGCTAGCGACTAATTAAAGCGATTGGTCCGTTTCCCAAGCTAATTTAAGCGTATATATTTGAAAATTAACATTGAAATTGAAAGGCTTTAAATATTAGACTAGACCCTAAACTAATAAACCTTTATAAAAAAAAAACAAATTTATAAGAATGAGTCATTTTTCCCAAAGCTTTAATTAAAATTCCCTTTTTATTTTCTTCAAAAAGTGTATTTCGTTCTCAGTGAAATGTAATCTAATTATAAATTACATTTACATTTTTGAAATAAAATCATTTCCTTTCTCACTTCATAAATTTTTTTAAAAATATAATCAGATTAATATTAATACAGGAATTGGTGGATTCACGTAATGCTGAAAATCGGTTCCCACCTGATTCCTAAGCCCCCCTACCTCACGCACAATCAAATCTTATAGGTTCCCTAACCATAATTTGAGGTCCTTGTATCTTGAATTCCGGCGGAGCGCCCTCCCGCTCCGCCGAGGTTGCATAGGCCTCTACATGCAGCTTCTAACATGGAGAGAGAGAGAGAGAGAGATATAATTAAAGGTTTAGAATCTATTTCAATTAACTATACAATGAGTTTATTTTTTCTTCTAATGAGATCACTTTACTTTGTGCCATAAATTGTAATCGTGAGTGTCGATAAATCGTTTAATTTTCGCCGAAATGTTAAAACTGCGTAAACTAGTGTTGTGTTTTAAACAAAATCTTTTAAGCTCTCGATTTAAAACAGATGGAGTGGAGTGTCTATAATAATCATTTCATTTTGCTCTTTATCTAAATTTTTTAATGATAATAAAAAATATCTCATTTTTAAAAAAAAGAAGGGTTTAAAATATTAAATTAAATATTTAGTTTTTTAACTAAGAATAAGAGAACCCCAGACAAACTAGACCTCAACCTTATATCCGAAACTTGATTTTGGCCAATTATATCAGAATATTTGATAATGGGAATTTTAACAATCTGCAACTTGTTTTGTTAAAAATAACATACGTATGTATTTAACAAAAACATTTTCAAAAAAGAAATAGATATAAATTTATGTACTATCATCATGAGTAATAATGCAAGACTAAATATCGAAAATTTTTATCGTGTAAAAAATATAAGGAAATTAATGCATTTATCATTCGAGTGCAAAGGCAAACTAGATATTTTCATAAGAAAAACACATTATTTCACGATTATGTATCATAAAATATATCGCAAAAACAATTTTTAAAAATTCTTGCATTTAATAATTACTTGTATTTCTCTTTTTTTATAGCTTTTTTTTTAAATTTAGGTGGGCTAATGTTTAAATATCACTTTTTATATTAAAAGTCAAAACTTAACTTCTTTCTATCTTTTTAACATGGGTAAAAGACAGTTAATTTTTTTGACTCATTTTTATTTTTGAAGGAAATGTTTTCCTGAGATTTCAAAACAATATCAAAAATAAATTAATAAGATTTTATAAAGAAATGTTTAAGGCAGATATTTTGAGAGTTCTCGCCTTGAACCCTAATTAAAATATTCTTATTTTGACAAAGGAACTTGATTTTAGTAGGGGTCTTATACCTAAAGTGAATTATTCAGTATTCGATAGTAAATTCGAATCGAATACGAATAATATATTATTCGTCGAATAATCTTTTAAACTATTATTCGAAATCATTTGTTTTTTAGAGTATTTAAAATTTATCGTACGTACGTATATATTCGACGACACTATTCATAAATATTAAAACTTATTTATCATAAATAAACATATTCCTTACGAAACATTTTATTTTATTTTTTAAATCGCTTTTTTAAATTTTAAATCATCTAAATTTTTCCGGAAGTGGGAAAAACAAATTTTTTTGTGGAAAAAATCTTCGAATATTTTTCTACTTCAAATCTTACCTAAAATTCCAATTCCAAATATGTTTAATAAAAACAAAAAAAAAATCTTTTATATGTAAGCCCTTATATAGTTTTTCACCCGCTAGAAAATTTAAGATGAAATCACAAATTTAAAATAAAAGAAAAAAATATTTGAAAGATTCATTCAAAAATTTTTTTTTTAATTTTTCTCATTTTTGAAGATCTAATCGAATATTCAACAAATCAAATCGAATAAAGTTTTTATTATTCGTACGGATACGAATAATACAATTATTCGATTCGAAGAATCTATTCGTAAACGAATAATGCAAATATCCGATTCGTAGTTCATTAGTTAATTATTTCACCCAAACCCAATGTATTTTACCATTAAGTGATAATAAAATCCGGGATCTCTAAAACTGAAAAGGAAAAGTGCCCGCTGAGCTTAGATGAGAAAATGGCGCCTCAAGACAGAGGGAAAAAAAATTTGCCATTGGTCTGAATCAAATTATCTGATCGTTCAAATGAGTTCTAACATACCCCCTTAGCCCTCTAGCTCATGTAAATATTAATTTGTTATTTATGAAGGATTGACTC